CCTAAATCTCAAGGCAACATGGAGGCCTCATGCACAGCTGTAGGGAAAAGAAAAACAAAAATGCCTATTCACTTTATGAAGCCTCTACACACACTGCAGGAAAGGTGCAAACGGGAAAAGGAGGGCAGAGGAGGGGGCCAGCAGTCAACCAGTGTGTATTTATTTGCTGTCATTTCCACACAAGGGACTGTGGGGACAAGCAGGAGGGATTAAATCTGCAAAGCCTGGGTCTCCTAGTGGTGTGTGGCCAGGGAAAGGCTGACCCTCATGCAACCTGAGAGTGAGGATGTTGAGGAAAGAATGCCAGCTTCCTAACAGTCACTTCTTGCGTGGAGCCTTGCTTGTTCCAACCTGGAGGAATTCATACAACAAGGGTTTCTGGTGGACCTTGCTCTTTCGCTGCTCCAGGCCACCTAAGGCTGTGATAATGGCTTATGTGTTTCACATTATTGTCTGACTAATTACCTACCTATCTTTCCTGTAATGGTGTGGATCAAAGCGAATGTGGCTTTCCATCAGAATCTCAGCTTGGCAAAATGAAAAGAATGTGAGTGGAATTTTGGCTCTGCCACTTACTGGCTATATAATCTTGAGCAAGTTACTTAACCTTTCTGAGTTTAGTTTTCTAATCCACTAAATAAAAATGACAATACCTGTATTGTCAGCTTGGGATGACTGAGTGACTTAAACAACGGAAATTTATTTTCTCATATTTCTGGAGGTTGGAAGTCTCAGATCAACGTCCAGCAGGGTTGCTGGCTGATGGGGTTCATCAGGGTTGGTTCCTGATGGGGGAGCTCTCTTCCTGGCTTGAAGATGGCTTCCTTCTCTCTGTATCTTCACAATGTGGAGAGAGATGGAGAGAGAAAGGAGAGAGAGAGACAGAGAGGGAGAGAGAGAGAGGGAGAGAAATCTCTTCCTCTTCCTTTTTTTCTTCTAGTCCCATCAGATTAGGGACCTACCATTATGACCTCGTTTACCGTAACTACCTCCTAAAGACCCTGTCTCCAGATATAGTCACTGTGGGGGTTGGGGCTTCAACATATGAATTTTGGGTGGGGGCACAACTCAGTCCATAACAAACTGCATGCAGCCATTTCCAACACGTTTCTACCTTGGTGTAGGATGCAGGACCAGAGGGAGGCCACCAGTGCCAGTGCCAGACCTCCCCATCGAGGAGCACGATCTGAGCTGAGTAATGCTCCCACTACAGTGCACCTCTTCTAGGGAGCCCTGTGGGCCTTGCCTGCTAGCTGCTACCTCAGTCCACGGATTTGTCCAAGAACTTTAACCCACAACAGACAGGGCTCTGGGTCCGGCTCCCCTCCCTATCAGAAGCCTCCAAGGCCATGGGGGTAAATTAGCAGATGCAAATATCCACCAGGGAAGCCCAAGGACTGACTTCTACCTCTCACTGCACAGCTCCTCGCCAAAGCAAAGGCAGATGGTTAGGCAATTCTTCCGGAGTGAACGGGCGCTTGTCTTAACCTAAATAAGTTAGAGAGGCCACTTAAACGCCTCTTCCCAGAGCAACAATCTGCTCCAAGGTGGAGTTTCTGACTTTAAAAATAAGAAGGGGTAGGACTCGAGAAAGTCTGTTTTCTTACCAGTAATTAAAAGCATATGTTCATATGTGATAAAGTTCTGCTTTACTGGGCACATAACTATATTTAAAAATGAAATAAAATCAACTGCTTTTTTTTCCATTGGCTTTATTGTACTTTTAGTTGTTATTTGCAGGGCTCTTTGCCAGAAGCCAGTCTGGAGAATGGGAGCAATGAAAGACGAGGTTCCTGCTCTTGAAAAGCTTCCAATCTAGCTTGAAAGATGAAGCAGACGTATGTGGAAAGATTAATAGAATATAGGACTTAACTAACATTTCAGGACAACAAGGAGATGCCTATCTGCACCTGTTTCACAGGGTCCCAGTGAAATTTAATCAGTGAAGGCAGAGGAGGAAGGGCCCCAATGACTACTGGTTGAACAGATGAATAAATGCAAATATATGCACGCTAGCCAATGGAGGTGGGGCACGGGAGACCTAACAGCCAATGGAGTGGGGCCTGGGGGGCGTGGTCTCGGCTCTGGAGAAAGCCCCGGAGAACAGAGACACGCTGCACGGCTGAGCTGCACCTGCAGCTGTCAGTCACTGATGATCCCAGCTCTTCCCAGCTCCGCGAACGTTTGAATTACCCACCCCTTCACAGCGCACACGGCCAAGGGAAGATTTTTTTTTTGTCTTTCTACTTTTTGCCTTTCAATTGATAGAGCAGATGGAAATCTTGTTTCTCAATTACCCAGTGTCCCCGTTTGATCTGAGTACATCTGGAAGGAGATTATTTGGGTACATTTGCTTTTTAAAAATGAGAGTGAAAACAAGCAAGGAGTAGGGGGAAGCTTTTTATCTTTTTTTTCCCCCTGCCTGCCCCATCAATATAATTTCCCAAGAAAAACAAAGAAATAAACTCTTACAACATTAAGTCACAGCAGGGACCACTTCTGCTTCATTTCTTTCGTCTCAAAATAAACTTAATTTATAAGGACTGGGAGGGCTACAGTGATATTCTGCAATGCAAATAAAACGCAGCATGAACACATACACAGGAAGGAAGTTTTGCGCTGTAAATATATCCAGGAAGTTCAGAGAAGCATAAAAAGTTGGGGCAGGCACTAGAAATGATTACTTTGGAAATGAATTGCAATTTTCCATTTTTAAGGGAACATATGTCGCTCTAGTTTTCTCTTCCAGGATTGACTAGAGGGTGGCCTTTAGCCAGTTTTTACCCTGATTGATTTGGCTGGCTGTGTTGCATTGGAAATGCCCATGACAATGCTGTTCTTTGGGTATTTTCATTCCTACTCACTTCTCTTCTTGCAGACTGAGCAGTTCGGAGCAATGTCACCACCAACGCTAATTCCACCATTTACCATTTATTTCCTCTGGCAACTAAAAAGTGTGCTAACCCAGCCACAAGTGGCAATCAATTGAAGGAGGTCTCCCCCTACCACACTTTTCTGAAATTCCCGTTATAAGGATTGAATGATAAATCTTTTCCTGACCTTGCTATTAAGTCAGAGGATGATATTTGGACAAGACAGAGATCTAGGACCAGCTCTCGACACAATTGCAAAGGCAGAAAATATGTCTTGGGCACTGCCTGCCTCCTTTCTCTGCTGCTGCCATTTTATAGCTCTCTGCAGGGTCCCCATCTCTCATTTTCCTTGTTCTTCTAGTAAGGAGGAAGGCAGCCTGATGACTGTGTTCAGGCCAAGGTGTTAAAGACAAGGAACTATCAATCTTCAGAAGGTTTGAATTTATTAAATAATGCCTGTTCAGGCTGGCCTCATGGCCTAGTGATTAAGTTCAGCGTGCTCCACTTTGGCAGCCCAGGTTTGTGAGTTTGGATCATGGGTGCAGACCTACACCACTCACCAGCCATGCTGTGGTAGTGACCCACATGTAAAAAAAAAATAGAGGAAGATTGGCACAGATGTTAGCTTAGGGCTAATCTTCCTCAAGCAAGAAAAGAGGAAGATTGGCAACAGATCTTCTTCCTCAGGAAAAAAAAATGCCTGTAAAGGGCATGGCTTAACTGAAAGTCATGTTAATGGTGGGATTTCAGACACAGTAAATCTTGGAATGGGGAAAATATTTGGTGACATGAACATTTCTTGACACTTAAAAAGAGACATTATTTACTTAGTTATCTATCTATCAATCATCTATGTGTCTATGGATCTATCTATTATCTATCTATCTATCTACCTAGCTATTGTCTATCTGTCTATCTACCTATCTGTGTGTCTATCTATCACATTTGCTCTTGAGAGTTTATTATTTATAACAACTAAATACCTATGCTCAGATATCTATGAGCTTGAGGTCTTGCGTGAGGCCAGTTCAGGGTGCTCCCGAGTTCTGACCTCTCCTCCCTGTGTATAAGGAAGGGTCCACTTTCTATTTCCAACTCTTCTCTTCCCCAGGTGCTATTTAGGGACAACTAGGGTGACTTTTTTCATCATATTTGAGGCAAAATTAAGTTACTGAGGGAGACTAATCATTAGATTATCAAACATCTTAAACAGAAGCTGAATCCCAAAAGCAAATGGGGAGAAGCTGGCTCTTACACTGAATCAGTGAAAGAGGGACTCAACGGTTGAATTTAAAATCCTTTGAGTTATTTACAGGGCATTAAAAACATTTTAATGAAGCTCACTGTTTAATGCAAGGTTGTTGCCCCAGTGATTGCCACATGGTCTCTTAGGTGATCTGATTAAGGGGGCTGGTCTGTGGAGGAAAGAACAATCTTTCTCCAGGGCTCTTCTTCCTAAAAAATATCATGAGACGATTTACCAGGGGGTCTAGTTGACAAGGAGATTGGATTGGTTGTCAGCTTTCTTTCCTGTCTCTTTGGGACTCCCCTGTAAAGACAATTAAACCGTCACTGCTTCATCCTAACATAGCATGCACTATATGTCTGGGGCTGTTCCAAGTGCTTTACCTATATTAACTCATTTAGTCACCACAGCTGCCCAGTGATGTAGAGACTATTACTATCCTGATATTATAAGGGAACTGAGGCATCAGCAGGTTAAGTGACTCACCCAGGGTCACATGTTGTATAAGCAGCAGAGCAGGCATTTGAGCCCAGGCAGTGGTTTGACTTCTGTTAACCACTCCACCACTCTGCTCTCTTCTCACCCCCCCGACCCTGAATTATGCTTCTCATCTCACTCTTATCCCATTATGTCCTCTATTGTGGCTGTATCAACACTTGCCTCTTTCTTGGCCACAGCAACATGAATTTCCTGGGATTAGGAATTGCGTCTTATATTTGTGTGTGTATTTCTCATGATGCGTTGCTAGCGCATAGTGAGCGAACGACAGACGTTTGTTGACTTCATTACAAAATAACTTTAGAGCAATTCCCTGGAAAAAGAGCATGCTGCTGTAGGCTCTGCAATCTCCCGCTCCAATTGTCTTCAGCCTGAGGGACTGGGCGATGAGCTCGCCTTGGGCATTTCCCATTAGTCTCCAGTAGAGGCTAGAATCTGGAGAGAGTTCCCTGCTGGGGCTGTGGAGTCAGGTGGGCTTCTTGGGTTTGTCAACTTTCTCCCGAATGACTTTGAAGTTTCCACAGTGCCTTGGGTGCAGATGAAATTGGAGAATCTGAACGTTGAAAGAGATTCCTAGAAAGTACCTCCAGGTAAATGACTAACCTGCAGGACAGGTGTTTGTTTTCTTCTGGAACATCTTCAGGGTGGATGACAGGGCTTTATCCCTCAGTCAGTCATCACTGAAGTCTCCTTAATTCTTGTTCCTTCTTCTTGTGAAGGAGTGTGAGCTCTCATATCAATTCAATGTGATGTAGAAGAATCAAATTAAAAATAACAGTGGAGCTCACACTTAGAAAGGAACAAGAATAGATGTTCCCGGGCATCTAGGATGTGCTAATTTAACAGTTCTTCATTGATCTTGGCTCCAAAAAGTGAAATAAAGTTATATAATTTTCCATGTCAGATAAAAGAAATCCTACAAAATTTTGATAAATGATAGATGCTCCTTGGGACTAAGCTCAAGGTGGAACGTACCCACCAGGTCCTTCAAGAGGGGCATTTAGTCATTAGTAAGCACTGTCTTTAAATAGGAACGACATCACTTTAACGGATGCCTCTTATTTCAGGCCTGTCTCTGAGGCATATCTTACCAAAGACACTCTGTGGATGTTGGGAGATCTATATTGTGGTAGCAAAGCATTTGACGGTATTCTAAGCATATGCACAAACATAAATGATCACCCTGGCTCACTATAAGATCCCTCTGGAGGTATGCACCATATGTCTGGGGCTGTTCCAAGTGCTTTACCTATATTAACTCATTTAGTCACAACTGCCCAGTGATGTAGGGTTAGGGTTAGGGTTATTATTATTGTCCTTTTGTCTCATAGCGAGTAAGTGGTAGGCCTGGAACTTGAAGCCAGGACATCTACCCTGAACTCTTTGCACTGTGCTGTGTAAGGTCCAAGTGCTTGGCTTTCTAATGACCTAATAAGGAAAGAGCCTGGAGACCCCAGGAAATCATATGGTTGACTTGTTCATTAGAGTGGCTGTCTCAATATCCAGTCCATTGAAAATCAAATTACCTGGCAAATGGCTACAGCACTGATTCTTAGTATTATAGAAATTCTGCATTGTTGATTAAAGTGATTGGGGACACAGAGTCAGCATTCTGCTGAGAGAGTGACAAGTTTTAGGTCCTTCCTCTGACAAAATCACCCTAAATGGCCAACGGATCTTAGTTCCTATTATTTTTAAAGCGCCAGGGGTAGCTGTCTCCCTCCGGGCTGAGAAAAGTCTGGGGCTGCAGCTGAACCTGGCATTTAGGCTAGGTGATGGGGAGGTGGGGAGGATAGGAAAGTGGCGCCAGCATATAACCATGTATTATTCAAATCTGAGACAATCAATTTTTACCTGAAAGAAAAAAAGAGATGCAGACATCACAATATTGACAAAAGTATATGGTTTAGTCTCAAAGGTTTGTATCATCTATTATGAAAAATCGTAAGGCAGGTGTTACCAGCCAAAGGCTTCACTCATCAAAGAATCTTAGTGTAATCCTGATGAAACTTCTGACTTCAAATTTAGCTGCATCGTTGGAATAGGCCCACCAGGATGAGTTTGCTGTAAAGTACACCCTTAAGTAGGCAGGTGAAATTACTTTATGGACAGGCTTGTTTATGAGAAATGTGAAGAAAATGTGCCAAATGCAACTATCTCAGCTCTTGTGTAATGAGAAGCTGAGCTACTCTCTTGGACAATACCTAGCCAACATGTTCAAGTGCTTCTGATACTTTTGCTAACAATTTTTGAGACTTTTCTATGCACTAAACACTGTCCTAAGCACTTTGCAAGTCTTAAGGTATTTAATCTTCACAACATCCCTGTCAGGTAGGCACTGTTATCATCCCTATTTTATGGATGAAGATGATGAATCATGATGAGGTTAATTAGCTTGCCCAAGGTTGCACGATTGGTAAGTTGGAGAGCCAACATTCAATCCTAGGTAGTAGTCTAATATCATAGACTCCATCAAGTACAAAATTTAGGAAGAGGAGAGCTTGAAAGACTAATTTTATGGCAGCAGTTTCATGGCTATAGAGCCTCCTTCCCACCAAGGACATCTGATTTGGTGTGGGAATCACACAGCAGGTGCATTTAGGGTGGGGGCTCTCTAAGCCTAGGATTGAGAGCTGCACAGTCTGTTAGTGCCTTATTTGTCTCTTTCCATGACAAAGACCTTGATGCCTGCATCACATCTGAAGTTCTGCAGTGAGATAGAGCCAAGCAAGTTTAGGAGAACTTCCTGACCCTGATTCTCAAAGGAAAGTGGAGTGCTGCTCCCCAAAGAAGGGGAAAGATGCTGCTAGTTGGGAAATAGCACATGTCTGTTGCAGCTGGCACCCAACCCACCCAGTAGCAGTGTACTGGGGCGGTAGCTACTCATGAAGTGGGCTAGGACATGGTCATGTTTAGCACCATTTAGATCTGGGATAGTTTCTGCCATGAGATCATCACTCTCTACTCTGATTCAGCACTAAAATTTCAGACTGCCCTTCCCCCATTCTTATTCCAATATTCACCATCCTAGAATGGCTCCTCATCACCCTTTCTCAGGTTATTAAAATTACTTTATATCTCCTTTCCCTGTATCCAATCCCCTTACCTTCTAATTTGTCCTAAGTGCTAGTCTAATAATTGGCTTTGATAGCACATATCCTATCATGTTACCTCAGCGAAAAATCTTCAAGAATTTCCCAACTTTTTTTGTATGGCTTTCAAGATTCTCTAAAATATAACCCTTACCTATTTATCTAATTTTCTTTCCAGTGGCGCCTCTTGACAAATGAGGCCCCTCAGCTAAATGTTTAAATTCTCTTTGCCTTTGCTAATGCCGTTTTCTCTACCTGGAGTATTTTCCATTCTTCCCATAGCAATTTTACTCATCTTCTGAGGATTGTCCCAAATACTGAGTCCCCATGATGCCTCCACTAATCAATTGCATTTACCTATATCTTGTTGCCTTGTTCTCAACTCCTTTTTATGTATGCATTGTGTTTCTATTGCTTAGGATGCTTAGCATTGAAGAAACAGAAGCTAACTTAGGTAGCTTACACAAAAAAGAAAATTTGTATATTGATGCAGGAAGTATCCATCATAAGCCCAGGGCAGGGATGCAGCCAGTCAACAGGAAGGTAACTAGGAATCAGGTTCACAGATTCTCTCTCTGCTCCTCATTTCTGTGTCTCTTTTTATGTCTACCCTATTCCCTCTCATCCTCTTCAGATTGACTTTCTCTTCTTCTCTGTCCACAAAGCAGAAAATGCCTACCCTTCCAGCTTCAGAGTCAGACATGATTTTCAGTTCAATTATTAATTCACAGGAGAGTAATATAATTGGCCCATCTTGAGGTAAATGTCAGCCACAGATCCAGGCGACCATGGCTAATGAGTGACATTACCATACAAACATGGCTGTTGGGGTCCATCACGGGGAATGAGGGTGAGCTTTCAAAGAAATGGGGCATCAACCTGTGGGATAGAGAGATAATTCTCAAAAGTTTCTGCTATACCCTCCACTAGTTTGTTAGGACTTCAAGGATACAAATTATATTTTCTTTTTCATTTGTTTCATTTTCTCCAAACTCTCATCTTCCCAAGGTCTAGATATGGCTAGTCTTATAGTAGTACTCAGTAAAATAAGGCAATTTTGTTAAGGACAATGGATATAGAAGAGTAACAAGTTGTTCAATGTTACTGTTGCTCTTGACTCAGATTTCTGGTGAAGATTCCAAAGGCTGAGAACAAATCAACTGGTGCAAAGTAGCCACACTCATAAGGCAATGTGCTAGACGAGACCACCTGGGCAGAGTATGTAAAGAGACTGTGAGGTTGGTCTGTCCTCATTAGCCCATTATCCATGTCTAGCATATCCAGGAGGGAGAGATTGAAGAGTTGAAAGAAGGAGTTTCTTCGGAGGGTGCTGAGAGGGTTCTGTGCATGTCTTCCACCCTCATCAGTACTTTTCATTGATTTTAAGCCAAATGGAGGGAGTTTCAAGAAAACTACTCAGAAAGTCTGGCCATATTCCTTGGAATTTGGGACACTCAGAGATTATTTGATTCTTAAAGTGAGTAAAGGCAAGTGACTGAGGTTGTAGCTGGCCAACAGCACTGGGACAGCAGAAACCAGAAAGAGATGGCTGTGTCAAGAGTGACTGAACTTCTGCTGACAGTGGAATAAAGGAGCAAATTCCCTGGGGAGATGTGGGCCTTATAGAAGGGAGATGGCTTAGGTGCATCTCTTTGGGTTCCTGCCTATGAAGATCATCTGGAGGGTTGATACAACCCTAAATCATAGATGCATCCCTGGAAACAGAAGTGAGAGTTAGAAGTAATTAGCCAGAGGAGAAACATTGTATGAGGCATCAAAGCTGGAGTCAAAAGCAGAAAATACCCATAAACCAGCAAAAGGAAGAGGAAGAGTCTGCTTCAGACATCTACAATGGCTACAGGGCACCATCTCCAGATCTCCACTATGCCAGCAGCTAGTGAGTGGGAGAGGAGGTGGAGCAGAGGAGAGAGGCAGGGTGGAGAAGGTGACCACTCTCCTCCTCCACTGCAGGCTTCCAAGCCTGAGGCAAGTACCAGATGGAGGCCAGGAGAAGGTGTAATTAAATAGGAGTTTGGCTATTAAATTCCCAATGTTAAAGTTGTGTGATTATAAGATGGGCTGGACTGATGTTCTGCTATTATTAATTTCCATTGGACATTTTCATATCTAAAAGTGGTCAACGCAAAGGGAATCTGCCCAAAATTTTATCAACAGGGGTGGTAAAGAAGGAATGATTGTGTGAATCAAACTTATGGGGAAAGGTGAGAAAAAACAAAATTGGTTTTTGCTTGCTTCCTATTGAGTCTAGTCTACTCAAAACATTATTGAAGTTCAGAAGGAGAGATCTCTGTGGGCAAGGACAATCAGAGATATTATTACAGAATAAAAAGGACTTGAGCTGTGTCTTAAAAGGATGGGTTGGATGCAGATAGATGTCTGACCTTGTT